CTAGTGGACCTCTAGTCCACAGTTTGTAATCCTGTGATTATATCATTCCTCTACTCAAAAACCTTCAGTTACTTATTCTTCCTGACATTAAAGATTAGCCTTAATCTGGATCCAACCTACCTTTCCCAGCTTCTTGTCACACTATTCCCTTGCATGTACTCTACATCTAGCCAGAGTAGACTAGTGACCATCCCACATATTCATCCTAGCCTCTCCCATTTTTTTATGCCTTTGCTTACTCCCATGCCTGTAATAAATCCCATCCCATCTCTACTTGTTGAAATTCTTCCTTTCCTTCAAGGACTAACTCATGCACCCATTTCTGCTATGAAGTATTCCCCAAACTATCCTGCTGAAAATGACCTTTCCTAAGATTTCCCATAACACTTTGGGAACTTTCCCTCCTACTAATCGCAGTATTCCTTATACCATAGTTATCTGTAGACATGTCTTATTTCCCCTTATCATGGTGGAAGAGTTGCCCTTCATCCTCATGGGGAATGTAGTTCTAAACTAGATAAGATGTGTAGCTGTTGCACAGCAACACATCAGTTGTAGACTTTCTCTTGTCTGACTCCAGGTAGATAAATTTTTTCATGACAAAGAATGCGTCTTATTTCATATTTACACCCCAAACACCCAGCACAGTGCCTTGCACATGGTAGACATTTAATGCGTTTGTCTAATTGAATTGAATAGTACTTAATAATCAGGGTATTAAAGCAACATGCTGTATATCACAGTGTTTCTACAATTCAGGGATAGAGTCATAGCAGCATTGATCTAGATTTGAAAGGGACCTCAGAGACTCTCTGGTCCAATCTTCTTATTTTACAGATGGGGAAACTGAGGTCAAATGAAATTAAGTGGCTTACCCAAAGTCACCCAGTTAGTAACTTACAGAGGTGAGATTTGAACTCAGGCCCTCTGACTCTCAAGCACTGATATTCTTTTCACTGTACCAAAAATTGCAAATGCCGGGAAATCATTAATCTGGACTAACCTTTGTGAAGGTCCATTTGAATCAATGGAAAGTATGAACCTGAATATTTAAAAGGAAAATTTTTTTTTATTTCTTTCCAACACATTCATTAAGTAAGTAGAGCTGGCCTGACAAAATACTCTAGTAGGATTGCTTAAGGGAATTGCTTTTTATTACTTATAATTAGCTTACCAATAAAAATGAAAATGGGTCTTTTAGATGTTCTTGAGAAGAATTTATTATCTTAGTTACTTTAAACATTCCACTTGAAATCTTGTTTATAGTGTTAATATGCTTGGCAAACTCTTTCTTCCTAGCATGTTCAAAGGTAAGTTCAACCAAGCTTCAATTCGAATGATCCACCATTCCAGAAATATGTTGGGATAAATTAGTGAGGTGATATTCTGATAGGATTTTCATTTTATTAAATGGACATTTTGATATGAGGATATTAAGAGACTTATCCAAATCAGACAGAATCAGACCCCTTTGACTATGATTCTAAATATTGTTGATCTCTCCTAATATCACCTTATTTAGAGATTTTGTACTACTAGATACCCAGACTTCTCCTGCTGGAATGATGACCACAAATGCTCCAGTATAGTTACAATTCTCCTACTTCACGGAACTTCTACTCCATGTCATGATGAAATACTTGTTGTGAAAGTATTTATGCAATATTAGGCTTCCAGTTGCAAAAGAATGGAAGGCATATAAAAAGAAGAGCATTTATGAAAGAGGTAGTCAGAAGCATGTTAAAAATTCTGAGAAATGAAGATGTTAATAACAAATACATGGCCTTACTAGTATAAATAATGTAAAATAAAACACAGGGGAAAGAAAAGGAAAAGCCACTGTGGGGAAAGATAGACTACAGGTATGGTATGTGGGTCTTGAAGGATATAGTTGTACTTATGTCATTACCAGTTCTCTTAAGATGTCTAAGATAGCAACCTTGAGTTTATGAGGTAGAAAAAGAAATCCCAAATTCCACTTCATTTCATATTGCAATGAAATGTTTCATTCTGTATGTGTTTTTGAAATGTTTCTACTCCTCAATGTGTAAAAGAATCATCTTTTTGTTGTTCTTTATGTGCATATTTTGATATTATGTATATGTTACAAAATAGTCCACAAGTAAGAGGCCTGAGGAAGGAAGTTCCACTGATATTTTGAATCTGTGTCTGAGTAACTGGCAGGATCTGCCTCTGCTAGGGTGGCTGTACACTGATTGATGAGATTAACCATTTAGTGATTGATTCATTGTCCAGGGTTTGGTACATCAAGGCACCTCCCCCTCCACTTAAAATGTAAAAGAACCCCAACATAGACACATAAGCAACCAGAGGCAACAAGCATTTACTTAGATTTCTTTGTTCTTTTCATTAATTGAAAAATGTAAAATCCCTCTAATAGGTTCATAAACGTTTATGCAAGTTTAACTAAGATAGATAGGTTTGGCTGGACATAAGATAAAGATGTTAGTCCTCTTCTACTGTTAATTTTTTAAATTATCCATCAGTTATACTTCTGACATCTATAATTGACCTTTATCTTCTCTGTGTACATACCGTTCATTAAAGTTGCACACAATCATATAGACATGGGCAGCAGAGTGAATATACAAATGGGTGAAAATACAAGTCATTCACCCATGGAGTGAATTTTATTACATGGAAGCAAAAAATTAGGGCAGCTAGGTGGCATGGTGGATAGAGTGCCAGGCCTGGAGTCAGGAAGACTCATCTTCCTGAGTTCAAAACCACTTTAACACACTTACTAGCTGTATGACTCTGGGCAAGTCATTTAACCCTGTTTGCCTCAGTTTCCTCATCTGTAAAATGAGATGGAGAAGGAAATGGCAAACTATTCAAGTATCTTTGCCAAGAAAATGCCAAATGGGGTCAGGAGGAGTAGGAGACAGCTGAAAAACAACTGAACAACAATAACAAGGCACTGTGTGCTTTGGTAGTGCTTTCAAATACTTTCATACCTTTTCTGGCAATAATTTTCAGAGATGGGCTTTGTGAACCAGGTGTTGAATACAAAAGGGAAGAGAAGATAAGAACTTTCTTCAAGATTAGCATTACCTTTTTTGTACAATGTATAGCAGTTTACATCATATATATTTTATATACACATAAGTGGCTATGTGTATATATGCAAATATGTGCATATGAAACCCAAGATTAAGTGATTTGTCCAAAGTCACATATGCAATAAGTAACAGGGCAGAGACATAATTGGAACCCAGGTCCTTTGACTCCAAGGCGAGTATTCTTTCTACTACACGATGATGACTCCCCTGAATGCCCTAGATACACTACCTTTCAGGATTATGGACTATTGAATCCTTTATTGTTATTACAAAAAATAGTTTCTAACTTGTAACAGGAAATGCTGTGCTGCTGTAGTGCATATGACTAGGTACTGCTAGAGGAACAAATACATACATAAAGTTCAATAGAGCATACCTGGATTAACTTTTGATAAGACACATTCTCTAGATGATTGAAAGAACCACTGGGATGGTAGAATGTGGTCACATAGCTCAACATTAGATGTATTTTCTGAAGACAAAAACCTGCAGATAGACACACATACATATGACAAAGCCAAAATGACCAGTAAGAAATGGTCGTCATAAATTGCCCCACCAATATTGAGAAAACATCACTCTTTAGCTTTCTCTTCACTGTTTTTTAGTTTAACTTTCTACATTCTTGCTCCCTTGATCCAGTGTTATGCTTTTGGTAGGTTTCTTTTTTCCAAGAATTGGAAACTCTGTCTGTAGTTAGTCTGATTCTAGTAGTTTTTCCACTCAATAGGACTGTAGGATTTAAAACTGAAAGGAACCTTAGAGTTCTACTAGTCCAAACTCCTTATTTTAAAAATGAGGAAACTGAGGCAGAGAAGTGTGATCTTAAGTAAATCATTTAATTTCACTGGCTCTCCATTTCTTCATTTATAAAATGAGAGGGATTGAAATAGATTGTTTCTGTGGTCCTTTCCGTGTCTGAATCCTATGATCCTGGTTTATTGACCAGAAACATAGAATTTATCATCCCTCAATACTCATTCTCACTCATGCACAGAGTTCTCACACATTCCTTCTTACTACTGTCCAAAGTAAGATGTTAAATCACCAAATACCAGAACTGCACATATTATAGACTTCTTAAGGCTAAAAGCATTTGGCTTCCTCTGTGTAGTGTTTTATGTGAGGGTAGAGTGGAATGAGTTTATGCAAAGGTTGACTAAAAGCATACTTCATTTAAAAAGATGAAAATTTATTTAAAATGTGAATGGTATGATTCATGTGAGACAGTTTGCTGCATTACTTAAGAGCATGCTATGATAATGCCCCTTGGGAGTTTATACACCCTTCTTTACAATGCTGTCCTCCACTGTCCATCTGTGCTTAGTATACAGTTCTTAATAAACGCATGTCATTAATGCCACTCTGGAATGCATTTGGCATTAGAAAGCTACAGCAGATGGCATACAGGAATGCACTAGTGGATGTTGTGTAGCATGATATGTAATCTCTGACATTCCTTTTAATCCTTCTGTTCTCATCTCCTTTTTTTCCTTTCTATTTCAATTACTTTGAGCAGCATCAAGAAAAAATTACCAATCCACCAAAATGAGTAAGTCCCCCTGTGAAGCCATGAAATGCTTGCTCTTACATGATGCCATTTCATGCTTCTACATCCTAAACTCTGACCATTTTTTCCTCTGGGAAAAATGTCAAGTTTAGGTGTTGATAGCACTCATTACTGACTAATCATTAGAACCCGAGTTAGAAAAACTAACTCAACCCAATTTAGTTTGCAGTTTGTTTTTAGAAAGTGCTTTAAAAAAAGAAAGAAAAGAGGTTAACATTCATCAGTTGAAAGGCATTTGTACGTGCATTAAGTTTTTGCTTTGGTTTTATATTCATTTTGCTTGCCCCCACATTCAGATCGCTCATTATGCCATTTCCTCTGTTTACTTGGTCATTATCTGCCAACAGACTGGCGAATCCAGAAGGAAGCCTTCCAGACCTCGCCATGATGAATCTGACTGCAAGCATGGAAAAGGAGGCAATGAAGAAGCTTGAAGAGGATGGTCAGGAGAAGACAGAAGAGTACTATGAGGAAGAGGAAAAAGGTGAGGATAGAAAAGACAGTGAAGATGAGGAAGAGGAAGATGAAGATGGAGAGGAGGAATCCGAGGAAGAAGAAGAAACTTCAGGTAGTTTATGTACAGCTAACAGTTGACTGACTTCAAAGGGGAAAGCTATTCATCTTGGCAACTTTTATTAAAATGAAGTTACTGTAATCTTGGCTTATAAAGTTCAATATTTCTCTAACAATTTTATTTCTAACTATGAATAGAAGGTATGCAAGGGGAAAATGTTTAAAAGTTCTCAAGTATCAGTTGTTCCAGGTCCGTCAAAGGGCAGATCAAACATAGTTATCAAATAGATTGAACACAAAAATCAGAATGTTCCACAGAGCCATTATGTAGTGGTATGTTAAATTATACCTTATAACCAATGTACTTGCTTTTTTTTCACTGAATTAAATTTATTTTTACTTCTACATAGACAGCCAGGGCAGGTAGGTGATACAGTAGATAGAGTCTTGGGCGTAGAATCAGGAAGACTCATCTTCCTGAGTTCAAATCTGGCCTCAGACACTTACTAGCTCTGTGACCCTGGACCAGTCACTTAATCCTGTTTGTCTCAGTTTCCTCATCTGCAAAATGAGGTGGAGAAGGAAATGGCAAGCCACTGCAGTATCTTTGCCAAGAAAACCCCAAATGGGGTCATGAAGAGTCAGACACAATTGAAAAGTGACTGAACAACAGCAGCATATAAACAGGAATGTAGTAGCACAAAACATTTTCTACTCTAGTATGATGTCTAGTGAACTTTTTTTAAAGTACTCCTCTAAGACGCCCATTTGTCAGATGGTATTTGAGAGAAAAAAAAAGTCAAAGCTCTGTACAATACTAACTTAATGGACAGATTTAAAACTTTGTTATGCCATATTCTCTCAGGGAATTTTCCTACATTATTTTCATCTTCTACACCAATATGGCAATCTTTATCATGGTTTTAGACCAAATAGTTACAGTCCTTAGAGCTGACTAGGAAAAGATACAGCATTCACTTTGTTTTATTGATTACAATAGATGAATAGAATAAAATATGAACTCCTCTTTTTGGCATTTAAAGTCCTTAGATATCTGGCTACAATTCTAATCAAGTCTATACCATATTACTTTCCTTCACCCACTTTATGTTCAGGCTTAACTGGTCTGTTGCTTTTTTTTTTAATTCTCCATTAAAAATCTTCTGTCGCTGTGCCTGGAACACACTTCCTCCTCTGCCTCTTAGAAACCCTCATTTCGGGGCAGCTAGGTGGCGTAGTGGATAGAAGACCAGCTCTGAAGTCAGGAGGACCTGAGTTCAAATCTGGCCTCAGATCAAACACTTGAAATTAGACTCTAGGCAAGTAACTTAATCCCAATTGCCTAAAAAAAGAAAAAAGATTAAAAAAAGCTCTGTACAAATGTAAGAATCCCTCATTTCCTTCAATGATTAATTTGAGTGCTGCTTCCCCACTGGGTTGCTAGTACTTTCTCTCCAGTAATTACTTTGTATATATTTCATTTTATTTGTAACATGCATATCCTTTCCTTCTTCTCCAATAAAATAAAAGCCCCCTGAAGTCAGGGCTTATTTCAGCACCTAGCACAGTGGCCATCACATAATAAGTGTTGAAAGCTTGCTGAATAAAGCCAAAGAATCTTTCACTATTCATTTTCTACTTACCTTTTCATTGTCAAAGTTAGACTAAAGATCACTAACTATAGAGCACTAATGTATAAATCAAAGAATTCTTCATTCTCTCAGGTCACCTTACTATTTTGCAGATTTAAGAAACAAATGGCATCTAGTAATTGACCGCCTCACAGTACTATTCTTAAAATTCCTGGAGTACTTTCACAAGCTGCAGGTTTTCATGTGGTGGATTTTGGAATTGCACATCATCAAAATTGTTTCATCATATATCATCTGGGTAACAGTAAAAGAGGCAAGTATACATTTGATTCTCAAATTGAGCTTAGCTGCTGATGATCTTGTGTGTTTATCATGGTCTCCCATAGCCTTTGTATTCACTATCTTCCTACTTGAAAAAACAATAGTCAGAATTATTGGAATATGTTAGTTCTTCCTTTGTGCATCAGTCACAAAAGCTATTTGTCTTTTGGAGAGTGCATTGAAGTTGAGTTGCCCCATGAATTCCTTCATCATTTTTTCTAGTATGAGGGAAGAGTTCTGGCCTAGGAGTTCAGAACACCTTAGTTTAGTTCCTGGTTCCAATTCTGGCTAGGCAGGTGCTTATGGGCAAATTACTTTATATCTCTAACCATCAGCTTCCTCACCTGCAAATAGGAGTGATCTATATTATATACCAATGTTGTGAGGTAAGCACTTTGTAGACTAAAAGATGCTGTACAAATCTGACCTTTTATTACTATCATTATCAGGATTCTCCACTTTTTACCATCAAGTTAGGCTGATTAAAAACTAGTTGAATGACCAGACCCAAAGATTTGTGGAGCGTTGCAGACCTGAAGTTTCTAGTAGAGTTTCTGTTATTTTCAATTTTTTTATCAATGGCTTAGAAAAGAGGAAGTCAATTAGTTACTCTAACGTATTTCACTGTTATAAATGAACATTTCCTGAGTCCTAACAATATTCCAGATGCTATATGAAACATAAAATTAGGCAGAATCCTATTATCTCCTTAATCATTGTTTTAAGCTGAGGATAGGCAGGAAATGTTTGTATTAAACATAAAAATTTTCAGTTTACAAGGTAAAATTGGCTTGTAGCATAGTCTATATGAATCTTTAAAAAAGAATTTGTCTACAAATGATATGAGAACTGAAACAAAATTGGTAAAATCATACATAGAATGAAGATTCTCTTGAAACTAAAAAAAAACTGTTCTTATATAGGAGTAATGTGAATTTCTGTGTTTTCTGTTTTCTTGATGTTAAAAAGAGGACCTAGTACTTTTGGTCACATCGAATGTCAGATTTAGGCAATCTTAAAACATACCAAACAAAACTAAATCAACCATAGCCTCTCACTCCCACTCCCCAAATATACATACAAGAACTCTAGGGTCAGATTCTAGAAAAGGGGGAAAAGTCATTTAGAGGTGGTTTTGATAATCCTACCAATTGATTGGTTTTTTTCAGTGGTCTCCTGATGAGATGAGTAGTGAATGTTCATTCAGATCTATATTGTGCCCCTATAAGGGACTAGGTCATAAGAGATACTTAACAAATCCCTTGTCAGTGATTAAATTGATATAAAGCATTATTGTCACCGGGGCACTGAGCATGGGTGCTCTGTTCTGAAGACTGGGTACTTGAAAGATGATTTAATATTTAACTATCTCTGGACTAACATTGTATGAATATTCTCCTTATGGAACACGATATTGTGATGATGTTTTAAGTCTTTGAATTTCACAAAGGGAACTGTTCAAACTGACAGAGTACTAAAAATGTCTCCATTTTTTTCTATACCTTCTACAATATCTTTTCTCTCTCTCTCCATCTTCTGATTTTATATTCTTAGGTGTCTGTCTTCAACTATGTATTTTTGATTTCTTGGGCTTTTGCTCTGCCATATGCCCAACTACGCCGTCTGGCTTCAAGCATCTGCACTGTCTGGACATGTGTGATTATTGTCTGCAAGATGTTATACCAGCTTACCACCATTGATCCTGCCAAATTTTCTGTTAATTGTACTTGGGTGAGCCACCCTGATGGGAAATCTTAAATATATTTTGGGGAAATTCACTTTGGGGGAAACTATTTTGGGGGAAGGTTGGGGAAGCATTTCTAAGAAAATTCCACACTCCACATTTTGGAGACAGCTCTTAATTTGTGGGAGCTACAAGAGAATTATATCTTGTTTCTTGGAGTCCCTCACCTTCCAGGGCCTCTTAAACTTTTTCCAATTGCAACCCCTTTTCATGTTTCCAAAGTTTTCCTTGGTGTTGCATGGCCTAAGGGCATGCTTGGTACAAAGTGTGAAGGCTTTGTGTTCAGAACCCAAGGCTACAGTGAAGTTGCCTGATGAAACATGAGCAAGGGCTGCTAGAAACTCCTCAGATTCATTACACATTTGATTTTTAATTAATTTGGTCATTGCACATTCAGAAATCTTTTTTCCATTGCCAAATTTTTCATGACCCCATATGGGGTCATAAACATACAGTTTAAGAAGTGCTGAATTCTTAGACTACATATAGCCCAATCCTATCTTCAGTGCTCATATCTACCCTTCATTGTAATCTTGGAAAGATATCTTCCCATAGATGAATGATATAAATTAATGATGTGAATGTAGCTGCTCTCCTTCCCTACTTGCCACTAATTGTTTTTCCTAACAGTAAGAGATGTTATCCCTTCTTCATTTCAGCCAAATGAAAATCAAACAAATATAAATTTAACACATTTGAACACATCCATGCTCTACAGCGGTCCCATTGATCCATCAGAGTGGGTTGGACTGAGAAAATCTTTTCCATTGCTTGTATACCTCAGGGTAACTGTTTTAACTTCCTTGATTTGATCTGCATCATTGTTTGAAAATGTTTCCTTTTCTTTGTTAAATTTGTTGATATGAAATTTGAAATATTACAATAGTCTGTAGCAAATATGTTAATATCTCAGTGTAACTCAGCTGATAACCATGGATTACCATTTGCCATTTTGGTTACCTTTGAGTCAAATAATCAATCCATTCTCCATAAACTCAGGTTTGGTTTACTCAAAGGTATATGCTTTGTCTTACTGTGGTTTAGAAGCATAAAAAGTAACATTATTCATCAGACAGTATCAGTCATAATAAGATTAATACATATATATATATATAATACATTCTAAGTATTGTGGCATTTTTATTATTTTAGACAACATAAACACTTTTCTCCTTAACCAACAGTATATTTACAGTGCAATTTAAAAAGGAAAGAAAATTCTATAACACTTAAACTAAGTATTATGCAATTTTTAAAAAAATAATTTAATGCATTAACTAATTTGAGCCCCTATTCCTTTAGTACTGTATTATCTAACTTTTGTTTGCATAGCAGACTATGCTGAAGTATCATGTTAGATGAAAATAAACTCTGATTGCAGTTTTAGTCTATTCTCTGTAAATGATAGATCTCATGCTTCTCAGCTATCATTAGCTATATTTGAAGAATTAACAAAATTTCCCCTCCAAATAGTGGATTTCCCTTACCCTTTGTGCTTCAGGTTAATCAGCTTGACACAGTATATACTCGGTTTGAAATGTAACTTTTCAAACTTTTAGTTCCAGACAATGTTGACCCCAAGATGGTGGTGTATCTATATGTTATCTTGGGTAATATGTTCCATTATTTTGATTTTCTAAGTATGAGGAGAGACCAGAAGAACTTTCTTCTCCCTCCAAAGTTCTATCTAATGAATTGCATCATAGGAATTGTCATAACCTACTTGGAGAGAATAATTAAATTTTAGTTGTAATAAAACATAGGAAATAAATGTATCTTTCCATAATATATAATGCTATGCCAGTCTATAGTATATCTTAATCTTACTGTATATAAGCAGTGGAAAAACCATTGGCTTTGAAGTCAAGAAGACTTGATTTCAAATCCTACTCTTAGTACTTATTAACTGTGTGACCAAAGGCAAGTTACTTAACTTTTCTGAATCTCAGTTTCCCTATTTGTAAAAGTGGATAATAATGTCTAGTACCTACCCACAGGAGAATTATAAGGCTCAAACAAGATAAGGTATATAAAGTGTTTCACAAATCAGTAAGCACTATGTAAATTTTGGCTATTATTATTATAAATATTTTCATATTTATTATTATATAACCAGAATATAACCAGGCCCAGGGCATTTTTTGTCTTCAGATAGAATGAAATAATACTGTCTATTTTAAGGATTTCTTTAAGATTATCAAGGCATAAAATTTTGCTCTTCTCTTATAACATCTTTTTCTCACTTTATAGAATAATCTATTGATGCTAGCTATTCTGGCCTTTGAAGTAACTATTTACCGCCATCAGGAATATTATAGATGTAGAAATAATCTTACAGCACCTGTGTCTAAAACCATTTTTCATGACATTACAAGATTGCATCTGGACAATGGACTCATCAGTTGTGCCAAGTATTTCATAAACTACTTTTTCTACAAGTTTGGGTTGGAGGTAAGGTCCCTTAGACCAAACTTTTATTTTTGGTAACTACCTGGTAGACTGTATTTTGTAATATATATGAAAATTTAAATTTCCAACATTCATGTATGTAGATGACTTTATTGCCTAGAATGAGATTCTGACTCATACACTTAGGATTAAGATGATTTTTAAACCAGATTGTAAGCTTCTCAAGGTCAATGACAACTTTTCTCCTCTTATATCCAACATGGTTCCTAGCACAACACTAAATATAACATAATATAATTAATATAATATAGTATTATATTGTACAATACAAACAACGTATGCAATACAACATGATACAACACAAAACAATATAATAAGAACTTGTAAGCTCCAGTTGATTCAGTCCTACCTGTGACCTTTTATGTTTTATGACTATTATAAAATTGATATACCTTCTAAGTCTCCTTTACCAAATACTTAAGGTTCTCCAAACATATTTAGGATGGGAGCAACAGGAGAGCCTGACCTAGAGCAGTCCACTTCTGAATGAGTAAAATTTATTTTTTTTAGCCCTCTCTATTCACTGAGCTAAATACTACAGCATGCTCCCAGCAAGTTCATTTTACTCTAGCAATGTAACTTTATCTTTTCTTGTCTCCGTTTTCTTTAGCCAGTTTCAATTCAATATTTAATAAACACCTAGTATGTGCAAGTCACTGTGCTAGGCTCTGTTAATAAAAAGGTAAAAAATCAACAGTCATTTTCTTAAAGGAATTTACAAACTCATGACTTTAAGCTTTAAAGAAATTATTGAAAATACCATCTTTTCCCAAAACAAAACCTTTCTAGATTTAACTCTTCATAACAGTGCACAAACTATCTTTGATTTTGGTAGAAGACATTGGGAACTACCCTGTGGTACAGAGATACATTCTCTGTACTTAGAAGTAATATGTAGAGGAAAACTGAAAAGGAAAACCAAAACAGGAAGAATGCCATTTACACATCTTCAGCTAACCAGCATGATTGACCATATCAATTACAAAATTAACAGAAATCACATGATTATCTCAATTGATGCAGAAAAAGCTTTTGACAAAATACAGGATCCATTCCTATTAAAAACACTAGAGAGCATAGGAATAAATTGCTCATGGGTAGACTGAGCCAATATAATAAAAATGACAATTCTACCTAAATTAATCTATTTATTCAGTGCCATACCAATCATACTATCAGAAATTATTTTATAGAGCTAAAAAAATAATAACAAAAGTCATCTGGAAGAACAAAAGCTCAAGAGAATAAATGAAAAAAATGTGAAAGAAGGTGGTCTAGCTATACTAGATCTCAAACTATATTATAAAGTGATAATTATCAAAACAATCTGGTAATGGCTACAAAATAGAGTGGTGAATCAGTGGAATAGATTAGGTACAAATTACATTATAGTAAATGACAATAGTAATCTAGTATAAAATAAACCCAAGGGTCCAAGTTTTTGGAACAAAAACTCATTCTTTGACAAAAACTTCTGGGAAAACAAGAAAACAGCATGGCAGAAGCAAGATATAGACCAATATCTCACTCCATATAGCAAGATATGGTCAAAATGGGTACATGATTTACACATAAAGGGTGATGCTGTAAGCAAATTAAGAGAGCCTGAAATAGTTTATCTGTCAGATTTATGGATAAGGGAAGAATTTAGGACCAAAGAAGATATAGAGAGTATTGCAAAATATAAAATAGATCATTTTTATTTATAAATTTTAAAAGTTTTTGTACAAACAAAACCAATGCAACCAAAATAATAAGGAAAGCAGAAAAATGGGGGAAATTTTGCAGCAAATATCTCTGATAATGGCCTCAGAGATTCCATATGAGACAGAGAAAAGAGGAAATGCAGTACATATTTTTTTATAAGGCACTCTGTAACACAAATAATTACCATCTACTGCCACCCCATTCGGAGTAGCCTTCTGCAAAGCATTCCTATGATTCCTTCCACATTACATGTTCTTTTGCCTCTCATTCTTTCACAGACCTGTTTCCTAATGTCAGTCAATGTAATTGGCCAGAGAATGGATTTTTATGCTATGATTCATGCCTGTTGGTTAATTGCTGTATTATATCGGCGAAGAAGAAAAGCTATTGCAGAGATCTGGCCAAAATACTGCTGCTTTCTGGCATGCATCATCACATTCCAGTACTTCGTGTGTATTGGCATTCCACCTGCTCCTTGTAGAGGTGAGGAATTCCTTCCTGAAGAGTTATTTGCTTTGATGATAAACTGTTGATGATTCTTGAGATGCTTCTGGAGTAGGGAACTGGAGAATTATAACATATTCATTGTGGCACTTTTTTTTTCTTACTTCCTTCCCTACTGTCCTCCCAACATTCTTTGCAGATTATCCGTGGAGATATCATGGTGCCAGATTTGACAACAACATCATAAAGTGGTTATATTTTCCAGATTTCATTGTACGGCCCAACCCAGTTTTTCTTGTCTGTAAGTATTTTAGCCCCAGAGCCATATGACCTGAATTGCTAGGTTTCAGTTTTATACTAGCCATTTACTCTACAATAGGAAACATAGCCTTTAATTAACTCTGCATTATCAACTTTGTCCATTTCACAGAAACAGACTTGTTTGATGGGTCTAGGATCTCCAAGAGAAAAGTTCTAAAATTAAAACCATTCTTTTGGGTTTTATCCAATGAATGTTTTTAAAAGATCATGTTTCTACCAACCCTAATGCTTTGTCAAAAAAAAAAGTCTTAGAATCTTTAAAATGCCTGGTTACTTGCATAATTAGTTTTTTTCTTTCCTTACTCTTTAAAAGACCTCCTAATCCTTTAGAATATTTTTTTAACCATTAACCATTGATATCAGTTTAAGTTTTGTAAAACAGAATTATGTAATTAAAGTGCTAGTGTTGCTGAAAAGTGAATCTGCTTTAATTAGTCCAAGCAGTTATGGTAACGTTCCCTCAAGCATGTTTCAGCAAATATAGTTATGTCTTTTAACATCGCAACCAAATTTGAGTGGTTCCTGTAGTTTACACCAACAAACAAAAGAAATCCGAAATAGAAAGGAGATAAGGAAAGAATATTGTTCATAGAATGCTCTTACAAATTAATAAAAAAGGGGGAAAGTATATAGATAAACATACATATGAATATGGAGATATTCCTATCTGTATATGTAGAGAACATATAAATACACTTATTAAAATGTCCATAAAATATTTTAATTAAAATTTAATCAATAGTCTATTACATGATTTTTGAAGTCCTAATTAATACAGAAAACCACCAGTATAAAAGCTACACATGTGAACCTAAATATGATCTTATTACATACACAAATGCCTAAAGAATCCAAGTTTGGAGCCCTTTTTTAACCTTATCCCCCAAAGTCATTTTTCCTGGTCCCTTATTCAGAATGTCCAGAGATTTATTGACCTAGAATTCTACTTTTCTCTTATGGAAATATAAAAAATTTACAAACTAAAGAACTATTCAGCCATAAGAGATAGCTTCCTAGCCATCATAATTTGAAGGCAGAATGCTTTTTATTATAGGAAACATATTTTAAGTGGTTTTAGATATAGTTGAAAGGTAGTTAAAGAGCATGGCTTGATGCAGTGGAAAGAATGTTGGGTTTCTAGTTAGTGGATCTTTGATTCCAAACCAGACCTGTCACTTTGTTATCTGTGTGACTTTGGGCAAGTCAAATCATTTCTCTGGGTCTAAGTTTCCTTAACTATAAAATTAGACATTAGACTAGGCAACATCAAGTCCACTCCTAACTCGAGCAACATTTATAATATTTTATTCTGCTATGACCTGGTCTATTTAGTGGACTATTTAGCCATGGATGGGTTGTGATTTGTATAGTCGGAGAGAAGATCAAATGTATCTGATCCCAGATCCATTTAACCCTAAAGAGCCATGGCTTGGGAACCTGTCTATCACACATTTTTATAGAAAGATGTTTGCTGACTTCTAAGTAGGCAGTTCTCTAGTACAGCCCATTCACAAATTAGGGATTGCACATACTGAGTAAAGATCGCTCTCTTTCCCGACTACGTACAGTGCCACTGCCCATAAATATAAATGAATAACTCACACTTTCACTCTTAAAATACTATCTTGCCAGATGACTTCATGCTGCTGCTGTGTGCCTCCTTACAACGGCAAACTTTTGAGGATGAAAACAAAGCTGCAGTACGGATCATGGCTGGGGATAATGTGGAAATCTGTATGAGCCTTGATGCAGCATCTTTTAGCCAGCATAACCCTGTGCCAGATTTCATTCACTGCCGGTAAAGATTATGTTTAATTCCTTGGGAATAACTTTAGGGTATGATTTTTACTTTCCTCTGTCCTAAAATTGTGATGTTTACAATAGTGGGTAAGATACACTTTACAGTGAATCTAAATAATATTCACTCTGGCTTTTAATATGCTTTATGATTACAAACAGAGGCAACCAGGAGGTACAGTGGGTAGAGTGCCAAGCCTCGAGTCAGGAAGACTCATCTTTCTGAGTTGAAATCCAGCCAGCTTTGTGACCCTGGGCAAGTCACTAAACCCTGTTTGCCTCAGTTTCCTCATCTATAGAAAGAGATGGAAAAGGAAATGGCAAACCATTCAGTTGTCTTTGCCGAGAAAACCTCAAATGGAGTCACAAAGAGTAAGACACGACTGAAAAACAACTCAACAATAACAACAACATGATTAGAAACAATAGTGAACTAGAGTCAGCTTGAACTGGCTTACATGAGACCATTTTTAAATTTTCAGTGTGAGCATTTACAGTATGGAAATTGATAAACTACAAATCAGGGCTTGATTAATTCTTTTGTTGTCTAGACTTAAGAAAGAGATGGAGAAGATGTTAGTAATGAAAATTTAAAAGTATATCAATGATACATTTTGAGGGTGAGACACAGTTGTTAAACAATTACCAGCACATTGCTAATTAATATGTATTTTGCATACATTAGCTAACTAGGTCTGCACAAAAGCCCTGTAAGATAAGCAGTGCAAGTATTATTATTCACCTCTTTTGTTCAGCTGTTTCAGTCATGTCTGACTCCTGACTCTATTTGGGGTTTTCTTAGCAAAGATGATGGAGTGGTTTGCTATTTCCTTCTCCAGCTCATTTTACAGATAAGGAAACTAAGACAAAGAGGTGTTAGGTGACTTGCCCAGGATCTCACAGCTAATAAGTGTCTAAGGTTGAATTTGACCTCAGGTCTTCCTGACTCCAGGCCTAGAACTGTATCCACTGTACCACTTAGCCACTCGTGTTACAGGAGAGAAAATTGAGTAAAGGAGAGACAAATAACACCCAGGTTCATACATCATGTGGTAAAGATAGACCTCAATAAGGCAAAATGACTCAGTTACTTTATAGATAAACCCGTTCATTGTAATTCTTCCTCTGCTTTGACTCATCTATAATCTTCAACTAGTTTCTTAATTTCTTTTGGTATCACTTTTCCATCTGCCAAATAAGCATGACAATTCTATGTGAGAAGAGAGTAGTTAGGCTGACCCTGATCTCTATGACTAGATTTGCTAGTGGAGAGATGTATGACCAAACTTCCTCATTATGTTTTTTGATAAGACTATTTCCTCTCTTAAGAAGAGAGGCCATTATCTGGGCAGAATTTCTTTTATTGGAATCATTTTATCTAGAATCAAAACATTCTTGGTATAATGGGCTTGGAACTTGGACCTGTTGATGGTTTTTTTGTTTTGTTTTGTTTTGTTTTGTTGTATTTTCTTTTCTTTTCGGTGAGGCAATCAGAGTTAAGAAGTGACTTGTCCAGGGTCACACAGCTAGTAAGTGTCATGTGTCTGAGACTGGATTTGAACTCAGGTCCTCCTGACTCCAAGGCCAGAGCTCCATCTATTGCACCACCTAGCTGCCCATTTTGATGTATTTTTTAGTCACAACAACCCTAAAGAAAACTCTGAACTAGTTTGCAAGTTGAAGGCCCTCCTGGGGCAAGTCCTCTTCTCTCTGTGTCCCAGTTTCCTTCTATATAGAATGACAGAAATGATACTCACCCCTGCCTACCTTACCAGGTAGTTGTGAAGAAAATATTTGTTAACTTTCAAAAGACTATGGAAATGTGTAATTGCTATAGGAATATACTGTAATGGAAAATGCTGAGTTAAGATGGTAGACTCATGAGCAGGAACACTCCTGTACCTTACTCAAAGCACTCTACCTCAAGAGAAGCTGACTGAAAAGCAGAAGAAATAAAAATTGCTAGGGCTTACTTAAAGATTTAAATCTCGACTTGGCATTCCTTCTTCAAGGAAAGAAAAAAAATATAGTTCCACAAATAAAGGATTACCAGTAGTCATTTCTCAAGTGTTTAGACTGCACAGAAAATATACTAGACATAAGTGGATTGATGCTTATACCCAGTGAAGTTACTTAGCTTTGTACAACAACTACTAAACATAGATATATACAATAAAATAAAGGGTACACAAGTCTTTGTCTTTTTATATTTTTATGCACCTAATTTTCAATGAATGGCACCTGACAGTTAAAGTCAAAAGAGTATATCATGCACCCACTTAAAGCTACATCCCATGGCCCTCTTCAAAATAAGGTACTTTTTAAGTCTACAAGCATCTATTGAGTATTTTCTATGTGTTAATTGGGATGGCTAGGTGGCTCATTGGATAGAGCACTGAGCCTAGAGTCAGAAAGACTTCAGTTCAAATACAATCTTAGACACTTATTAGCTGTGTGACCCGGAACAAGTCACTTAACACTATTTGCCTCAGTTTTCCTCATTTGCAAAATGAGCTGGAGAGGAAATGTCAAACCCCAAATGGGGTTAGGAAGAGTTGGACACGACTGAAATGACCGAACAATAAGAAATAAGTTAAGTACTGTGCTAAGCATTAGGAATACAAAAATGGGCAAGAAAAAAAATTCCATGCTGTCATACTGAAATTCTAATAGGGAGAAAACATGACAGCAACTAATATGCATACAATATATGTATCATACAAACGGAAGGTAACCTCAGAGGAGGCACTACTGGTGAGGGGATTAAACTGGAGGAGAAAACTAGTAGGAAATATTTCTTGGGGAAAGTAAGATTTGAGCTGAATCCTGAAGGATGCCAGAGAAGCTACAAGGTAGAGAGGAGAAAGAGAGCATTCAAGGCATGGAAGAGAGCCACTGATAAGGTATGGATTTGAGAAATTGTGTCTTGAAATATGTGATGAAAGTGTCATTAGATTAAAGATTACAGAGTACATGGAGAGTCCTAAAGTTTAAGAAGGCCAAAAAGGTAGGAAAAGATCAGATTGTGAAGTGAATGAAAGCCAAACAGAGGATACAGTTTGATTTCACTGGTGTAGGGAATTCCCAGGTGAGAAAATCCCCTCTCCCAATGTGTTGTCTAAGCTAAGTGGGTACATGGCAGTCTTGCTTCCACCCATACTGAGTTGTTGAAATATTCTTTTGAAAACACTGCTGGTTTTAGGTCATTATTTACACAGCTGTTTTTCCTTTCCTGATGTTCTACTATTCTAATTCGTTTATTAGCTGACATTGGATTGGTCATGTGATCTTTTTAAAGCACCAAGCAGTAGTCAGATCTTATAAAAATTTTCTGCTCAGAGCAGTAAAAAACCACCAACAGTAAAAAAAAAAAAAATTAGAGAGAACATTGCTCTCTACTAATGTAAGTTGGCACCTTCTTTGCAATTCACAGACTTACAGTCTTAGAAAGTTACTTGTCTCTGAGATATTAAGTGATTTGCTTAGGGTTATAAAGCCAGTATGAGTTAGAAATGGATCTTGAATGTAGGTTTTCCTACCTTCAAGCCAGCTCTCTATTTTGACACTCTACCTCTTAATAAAATTATCTGACCCTACCAACCTACAAATTATATGCCCTCTCTTGCTCTGCCATCTCCATGCTTCCCCCAACATCTGGCAGGGCATAAATGCTTGCACCCTCCAAAGCCCCTCATTTTCACAAGCTGTTCTCTTCTTCTCTCAAGTTGACTGACTGCATTTTCAGTGTGTTGTTAGTCAGTGGATGATAAGAGTTTAGTGTTAAAACTAACAACTAGTGTTAGTCTCAGTAGTATTTGCTTAATAATAGGAATTCAAGCCCTCAGCTAAATGATGGAAGATAGGAATTTCAGGCAGGGACCAATTCTCTATCTCTTAATAAATGGGGTCATGCATAGTCTGGTGGAGAATATGTGAGGTAGCTGTTTATAGTTCCAGAAGCCAGAGTGGTACCAGGAGAATTTAGACAAATTCCATATGGAGCCAGAGATGGAAGACTAGCTTCATTCAGTCTGAAAAAATCTAATGGAGCAAGGGTTAAACATACTTCCCACCTCCCCCCACTTCCCTATCAGGAGAATTCTTTAGAGCGCCTGTGACTTTCTCAAAAACCAGTAGATGGGTACCAGAGCACAGAAATAGTAGGACACCTTCCCAATTTTCCTTGAAAAAAAAAGGTTTCCCTTTCAAAGGGAACCAGATAAAATTGTCTTAGCCATGCAAAAAGGAGGCTTTCCCTATCAATTGGGAACTAGCTGAACAAGTTGTGTCATATGAATGCAATGGAATACTGTTGTGCTATAAGAAATAATGAGCAGGCAGATTTCAGAAAAACCTGAAAAGACTTACATAAACTGATGCTGAGTGAAGTGAGCAGAACCAAGAGAACACCATACACAGTAATAACAACATTGTTCGATGATTAAATATGATAGACTTCACTCTTCTCAGCAATACAATGATCCAAGACAATTCCAAAAGACTCATATAGAAAATGCTAACCACATCCAGATAAAGAACTATAGAGTCTGAATGCATATCGCAGCATACGGTTTTCAATGTATTTTTGTTTTTCGTTTTTTCTTTTTTGTGGTTTTTTCCCTTTTGTTCTGATTTTTCTTTCACTACATGACTAATGTGGAAATATATTTAACAAAGCACAACTCTGAAGGGCTGGCCACATTGTTCAAATGTAAAATGTACACTTACCAAAAAGACTTTTATGGAGAACTCACACAGGGCATGCATTGACATGGTGGTCAGAAGAAGTGATACAAGAACACTCTCAAGGTCCCTCTTAAGAACTTTGGAATTGATTGTGTGACATAGGGGACACTGGCACAGGACTGCTTAGCATTGCATGCCTACATCAGAGAAGGTGCTGTGCTCTATGAGCAAAGCAAAATTGAAATAGCTCAAAAGAAATGCAAGATGCACAAAGTTACAGAATCCACCCAAGCTTGTATTGGTCTGATCAGCCACACTGAAACTTGATGCTAGCATAGCAATGTCATTTTGGTCCTCTTTGAGATACAAGGAAAACAACCAAACAATATGTATAACCAATATCATATTGCTTGCTGTCTTGGGAAGGGAGGAGGGAAGGAAGAGAAGGAGAAAAATTTGGAACTCAAAATTTCACAGAAATGAATGTTGAAAACTATTTTTACATGTAATTGGAAAAAATGCTATTAAGGGAAAAAAATAATGAAGCTTTCAAAGAAAATTTCAGGCATTTGAAGGTGAATGGAAGTACCATTGTGATTTTTCTATGTGCCTTTATTAAAAATCTCTGCATTTAGCCCCTAGATGAGCTTGTGTAGACAATAGAAATACATTTTAATCTAACATTTTCAGATTATCCATCAAAGAAAATTTGAATCATTCTTTTAGAGACCTACAACCAATGCAAAGGCAAAAGAAGTCACAAAAAACAACAATGTAAGCATCCAATTTATTGTTGCAGATAAGACAGCTGAATAGTAGAAGTCCTTCCCTTGCAAAGTCACTAAACTATCTTAAGAGAGGACAAGACGGGACTTTGGTTATTTGAGCTAACCATAGAGTTTTATTATTTTTTAAAAGTTGATGAAAAATTTGTTCACAGCAAAATGGTGAATATGATTTTATCGCCCTGAGGTAGAACTTTGCTGACTCTTCTTTCATTGTCCTGTTTTTGTGTTGCAGGTCTTACTTGGACATGTACAAAGTGGTTATCTTTAGTTATCTCTTCTGGTTTGTTCTTACAATCATCTTCATTACTGGAACCACTAGGATCAGCATATTCTGCATGGGTTATTTGGTGGCCTGTTTCTATTTCCTGCTGTTTGGGGGAGATTTGCTGTTGAAACCCATCAAAAGCATCCTCCGCTATTGGGACTGGCTGATTGCGTACAATGTTTTTGTGATTACAATGAAAAATATACTGTCAGTAAGTGGCACTGTTGTAGTTCAGCCCATAACACATTTGTGGTTTATTTGTTAAGAGTAAACAATCCATTCAGTGGTTATTAAAAGCCCTTTGCTGCATCATATTGTTCTCAGAAAAACCCAAGATCTTGTGGCAGTTTGTTCAGATGCTGCCAATTTGGTGTCCCAATGACTATTTATTTTACTTGTTTTTCTGTATTAAATAAGTAGAGCCAGTCCATGATTGTGAAACACATGGAAATGCACTTATAGAAATGAGTTGTGAGGTATTTCTTTTAAAAATATTCACAACTGATACAACTAAATCTAATGCTATAAATATCTATCTTGCAAAAAAGTGATATTGTGCCCCTGTGTATTAGTATTTCCTCGTCTTCTAGAATGGAAGAGTCCCTGAATTTAGCAGGTGTGATTTTTTTTTGGCTTAGAAATGTTGATCTTTCTTAGAGAACTATGAGAGTATTAAATTTTCTTCCCTTATTATGTGATGGAAACAGTATGAGACAAGCTATTAAAAAGCATGTAAGGATGTACATACATCATCTTTTGTATGGAAGGAGGGAGAAACAGAAACACTGAAAACAGCTTGGCCTCGAACACGCGATACCAAGCCAAAAGCAAAAATAGAGTAGGCTGGCCCATTAGTGTGGTTTGATGGGTTTTTTTTTTTGATTGATGAATATGCTTTAATATTCAGATGGGAAAAATACTAATCTTAAATTTGAAGGTAAGTGTATCTCTTGAAGTATTGGAAAATTCAATTACTCCCTGGTAGTAATGGGAATGATATAAAGGTATTTTTTAGACTATAAACATACTATTGAGTTATTTACTTCTCCACAAGCTTAAAAATGATCCTCTCATGGGCTCAAAGGGTTAACACTTTTCCAAATAATGACCCTAACTCAAAAATCAATTGCTATAAGGGAGTAGTTTACTTACATGTCAGTATGTAACTGATTGTACATTAGAGGGATGATGATGCAGTGATTGCTAGCTTCTCTCCTGTCTTCCCTTCCTCCAAACTACTTAGGAATGAGCTCACTAGGCAATCTAACTATGAAACTCATTTGATTTGTTTTTGGCATATATCTTATTATGTTAATGATAAGATCAAAGTCTGTGTAGCTGTTCATACTTTCCTGCATAATTTATTTTATGAATAGGCCACATTATTTCCATTATTCTTATCAATAATAAAAATAATGGCAATGCATATTCAGGACTTTCTTACAACCCTAGGTCTTCGTTTAGTGAAGAAAGTGTGTTGGGGTTAAGTGCATGAGAGAAAAAGACAGTAGCTAGCAGGAAAAGGAAAAAGGCTACAGAAAACCATTGCATTTTAAAGGCACTTAGGGACATGATAGTGATGAACTGCTGGATCTAGGAGTGAAGAAAGCAGACTATCTCACTTAGACCTCACAACTGCTTCTAGGAAAACTTGAAAGTAAAGAATATGAAGGGAAAAGTACTGAATTTTATTAGTCCTACTAATACATTTTTTACTTTTTTCCCCACCACCATTCAACTCATCAATGGCTCTACAGATATGGAATAAGGCCACACAGGATGAGGACTGTTCAGTAATTTTGTGTAATTTATGGGTTATCATGACAACAACACAACAAAAAAATGTATCACTTGGTGAAAAACCTTCTGGTAATAAGCCTATTTATAATTAGCTTGGCAGGTCCTTAAAAAATACTGATATAGATTGCCCCTGAGCCCATACATAGTCTAAGCCTTTCAAGTTTGGTAGAAATTTCCAAAGTTTGTGCTGCAGTAGAATAGCCTTTATGAACTAACCCTATGTTACCTCCATGCCAAAGTGAAACAACATATTCTTTGGAAGAAATAAAGTATTTCTCAAGACCCCTTTGAATTAATATTAAGTCATCCTTATCTCATTACTACTAAGGTTTCCTACTACACAAATGAGATCTGAATTGGGTGAGCTTATTCCTAGAAAGTAGGAGACGCTGGTTGTGCTGGCACTATTTCAATTCCAGTATCTAACATCAACATCTAATCTATAGATTTCTAGGGGATGCAATTCATTTGTATAGGAGGAAAAATTTCCAAACAATTAAAGCTATTCAAAAGTGGATTGGATTGCCTTCTGAGGTAATGAGTTCTCCACTATAAAAAGGTCTTTAAATAGAGACTAGGTGACACCTTGTTGCCAGATGTTGTAGAGGCTTTATTAATTGTGTATATGTTTAGCCAGATGATCACAAATCTATTCCATCTCTAAGTTTCTATAAATTCAATTGTCAATTGTTAGAAGTCTTGGTCTACGGTTAGCATTTTATTTTGAGCTTATTTGAATGTGGTAAACTTTTTTTTTATAATTTTAACTTGTTATTAATATATTGGAAAGCACAACATTGCCCCTAATTTTAAGAAGAAATGTTTCAGAAATACCCATTCTCATTGCAGTCAATTAAGGGAACACCTTCTATGTATCTGTTTCAAAGATTGAGTAAGATTTTTTTCCTTTTCTCAGACAGCTTTAAATCACAAATTTTCATGACTAGAAGGGTCTTCAGAGGTCATCTAGAATAATCAGCAGAAACACTGATAAGCCCGTAAACACTTGAACAAAGCTATCGTGTTCCCACTAGATCTTCTCTAAGCTTAAACATCCTAAGTTTTTTCAACTGATTCTCCTATGATATAACAATGGTATTCACCCTTCTGGTCATCTTTCCTTGAATACTCTCCAAGTTATCAATGACTTTTCTAAAATATGGTATCCAGGACTGAAAACAATACTCAAAGTGTGACTAAGACAGAATACAATGGAACCATTATCTCCCTAGTCACAGATCAAAAGATCAAAGATTCAGATTTGGAAGGGACCTAGGAGCCTTCTAGTCCATCCCCATCATTTTGTAGATGAGGAAACAGATCCAGGAAGTTAAAAGGACTTACCTGATGTCACACAGGCAACAAGCATCCAAGGGGTGGGGGTGGTTAGAATAAACACAAGTCTTCCTATGTGGTTTTCCAGTTTTATATGAGGAAAAAATTATAACAATTAGAGCTGCCCAAAAATGAAATGAGTATCTTTCTGAAGTAGTGAGTTCCCCATTGTTAATGAGGTCTTGAATTAGATGCACAGTCCTGGATACTATATTTCTCAAAGGAGCCTAAAATCACATTCACTTTTTTGTCTACCATATTATTTTATTTATCTTATTTAAACAGCATCTTATTAAAATCCTTGAGTCCTTTTTTTTTTTTCAGTTAAACTGCTGCTTGGCTATGGCTCTCCAATCTTGTAAACTGATTTTTTAGCTGAAGTGTAAAACTTGAAATTGAGCAAGGATAAATGTTATTTATTAGATTCAGTCCAATATTATAGAGTGTTGACATCTTTTTATATACCAATCCTGTTTTTCAATGTAAACTCTCTAAGTTTTACATTAACTGAAAGTTTGATAAGCATGCCATCTAGGTGGCTCAGTGGAAAGAGTGCTAGGACTAGAGTCAGGCAGATCTGAGTTCAAATGTGGCCTCAGACCCTTATTACTTTTGTGACCCTGGGTAAGTCACTTAACCCCTGTTTGTCTAGATTTTCCCACCTGGAAAATAGGGATAATAATAGCACCTACCTTCAATGTTGTAAGGATCAATTGAGATAATAATTGTAAAGCACTTATCACAGTGCCTGGCATAGAGTAAGTACTATACAAATGTTAGTTATTATCATTGTTATTATCTATTCATTGATCCAAGTCACTGGCAAAAATGCAAAATATAAAAAACCTAGCACAGATTCCCCAAGGCAGTCCACTGATGACCTCTTTCCAAGATGATATTGAACCATTAATTATTAATTTTAGGAGATAGCCATTTAACCAGTTCTGAATTCACCTAACTGGACATTAATCCATTTTTGACCTTTTCTATAAAAAAAATAACATGTTAAACTTTATCAAATGCTTTACTGAAATCTAGACAAATTGGTTCTGTATCATTCCCCTGATCTACCAGTCTAGTATTCCATTTTTTTGAGGAAATGATTGTAATCTGGCATGACTTTTTCCATAGATATATGATAAATATAATGCAAAATAATGATAAATTATAAAGGAGAGCCACAAAGTGTTATGAGAAATTTGAACAGGGAGAAAGATCACTTCCTGCTGAAGGGGATCACAGAATCCTTCATGGAGTAAAGGATACCTGAATTAGGCTTTGAAGGGAGAGACTTTGACATAATAGTTGATAAGCTGACCGAAATCACAGAACCAGGAAAAGATGAGACAAGAACAGGAAATAATAAGTTTATTTATTTATTAAGTTTACTAGAATTCAAAACCAGGAAGGGAATAATAATAATATGAAAAAAAATTTACCCTCGACCATAGAGGACTATAAAGAAGCACGTTTTATGGCTTCTTTTTTATGAACAGATGTATTTGTTTTTCCCTGTGGCAATCAATATGGCTTCTCTTTCTGCTCCATAAAAAAGCCTAACCAAATCAGTATCCTAGGTTTGAGAAAATATGTTCTGTTGAGGGAAATGCTTATCTTGTTAGCCATTTCAAATTCAAATTTAACCTATCAAAAAGTCTACAGACTTTCTTTTCTGCAAAGGTAGAAAAGCTTTTGTGAATGATGGTCCCTCATTGGCTTCATTCCACTCCATGGAGCTGAATCTCTTCAGAAAACAGCTATGCCTCACTCATCATCCCACTTACTACTGCTGAGTGACCGGAGTGGCAGTATCTGCCTCTAATTTAGTAACATATATTATGAACCACAGTCAGTTGTGATTAAATTCATGAATCTTCTGGGTATCCTGACCAACGAACATTTGTTACTGGTGTATAGTCTGTGTGTTCATTTTTTCCCATTTGTTTTACAGATTGGAGCATGTGGTTACATTGAGTCCTTGGTTAACAACAGCTGCTGGTTGATTCAAGCCTTCAGCCTGGCCTGTACAGTCAAAGGCTACAAAATGCGTAAGTATTATATTATTTTGTGGGGGGAAAGGGGTTATGGTGCTAGTAGGAGAGGTGCAGGAAGAATTGCATATTGCTTTATTTGGGAGTTTTGTTGGCCGAACTTGAAAAATAATGCAAAGCATCTTTTTTTTTTTTTGAGATAGGGCACCTAGGCTGGAACTACAGTGATTACTGAGGGACCCAATCTTAATATTTATTAGGACAGAAGTTTAAACCTGCTCCATTTTTCCAACCAGAGTCAGTTCACCTCTCCTTAGGGAGCATGGTGACCCCCTGCTGCCATGAGTGGCTCCATGCTTACCATATTGGTGTCAGAAACACAAAAGACATTGAAATGAAATAGGAAGAATGTTGATCCCACAGGCCTGAAAGTATGGCATAAGTCCTTTCTGTTAAAAAAAATTGGTTAACGGGGCAGCTAGGTGGTGCAGTGGAGAGAGCACCGGCCCTGAAGTCAGGAGGACCTGAGTTCAAATCCGGACTCAGACCAAACACTTGACACTCACTAGCTGTGTGACCCTGGGCAAGTCACTTAACCCCAATTGCCTAACAAAAAAAAATGGTTAACTGTAAGAGTGAAATAGTACTCTGTCAGTCTCAATTGTTGGGTTGGTTTCTTCTCATTTTTTTAAGGTAGGTTACAATGGGATCGTTTATTGGGAAGTGATTCTTATGTCAAAACAAAATATATAATTTTAAAAGAACTTTAAAGTTCTATTTAAATTACAATTTCCATTATTACTGTTGTTAAAACTGTTTTTTTTTCTCCTAGCAGCTTTGATCAAGCTTCTGGGCACCTAAGGTTCATACTTTGCAAACTCAGGTGTGCTCTGAGAAACTGTGAAAAAAACCCCTACAACCCACTCCATTTTATAACCACTCTAGGGATGGTTGATGGGTAATTTGGGACCATTTGTAACATTCTTTCCTTCCTCTCTCATCAACCAGTCATACATAATTATACCACAACCTTGGTGATTTGAAAGATTATTAATTTGAGCACCACTAGAACCTCACTGAGACAATTGCAAACAATCACAGAAATGGTAATTGCAAGCATATGTAGAGTAGAAATACTTCTCCTATTAAGACCTTTCCCATTCTCACCCTCCCCAGTGGCTTTCATTTCTTTTTCGGTTTGACAACAATGCTCTAGAACAGTGTTCTGGCTTGGAGGCATGACCCAAGGGTTCCATAATCAATCAATCAGAGAATGGGGAGATAAGGCATATCCCATCCCATCCTCCCTATGCTAGCCAATCCTAGATCTTCTCTCCATCACAGCCATGCCTACCTTTATCTCTGCCCTTCTTCCCTCCCATGTTCAGGTTCCCAGCTTCCCCCTTCTATACCAGTCACCAGTACCTTGGGACAGTTATTAACTAACAACTACCCAGGTACCCACAGACACAGTCGTGTGCATATCATTGGGAACTCCACTTCCAGCATGCATACCTTCTAGCCCCCAGATCATCTCATGACTGTGGGAGGCAGCCCTTGGAAGTTGTATTCTGCCTCCAGAACCTCATCTTACTGATTAATCAAAGTTGCACAGTATGAACAAGCATGGATGAATTATAGTACCCATTGCAACTTTTAATATATTATCTTTTTCCATCAAAGCCATCCCTCTTTGGAAATTCCCTATTTCTGTCAAGAGCACCACCATTCTTCCAGTTATAAAAGTTGCCCTCGTTGGTGTCATCTTCAATGCATCATTATTCCCACAGAACTAGTCAGTTGTCAAATTATCATTTCTACCAGCACAGTATCTCTTGGGTCTGTCCCTTCTCTCTACTTACAACCACAACCCATCCAGGACTTCATCATCTCTTGCTTAGATTATGGTAATGGCCTGCTAATTTCCATCCCTCAAGGATCTCATTCCTGTTCCCCATAGCTGCCAAAGTGATTTTTTAAACTGTCAGGTCTTACCATGCCACACTTACATACCATGCTACTCAGTAAACTTCAGTGGCTCCCTATTAACTCCAAGATCAATTCTGTATCCTATCTTAATTTCTGTTTTAGGTAAGTTTTATAACATATGTAATTATTCATACAGTAGTACATGTGCATAATTTATAACTAAGTGAATATATGAATATTATGAGTATGTGCATAATCAAAAAAGTTTAGAGGCTCCTGTTACAGCACAGTTTGACCATCATTACCTAGTGATTAAAAGAGAAAGAGAATGATCCATGTCTGCAGATTGAAAAAACCCAATGATGAATTGTTGAAGGATAAGGTATTTGTAGGTTATGATTAAAATATAAGCAATTTATTAGTATTAACATTTGTACCAAAGTTCCTAGCTACCCAGAGAATATAGTTTATTTGCTCTACTGTGATTTCCCAAGTGTAACAGAGTCTGTGGCATAAATATTACAACAACAATAAAAAAAGATTTTACGTATATTCATTCTAACACAGACTTTCTTTGTTTGCTGTCATAGCTCTTGATAATAAGGAATGTAAATTGCCCAGTGGTGAGGCTGGAATTATCTGGGACAGTATATGTTTTGCATTCCTTTTGCTGCAAAGAAGAGTTTTCATGAGTTATTATTTCCTCCACGTGGTTGCTGACATAAAAGCTTCACAAATTCTGGCATCAAGGTAAATTGTCTACATAAAAGTCATCACTGGTAGTGATATGTCATCATCTTAGAGATGATAAATGAATTCCATGGAACTGATAAGACCATCATTCAACGAGCATTCATTAAACACCTACTATGTGTCCAGGACCAAGAGAGAAAATATAGAGAAAGAGAATGAAAAAAATAGAGCTTTGGCAAATACCTGCACTTGGTAGATGGGAAGATGATGTTGTTCCAGCAAAGGAGACTGAAAAAGAGCAGTCAGTTGAGTCATGAAAGCCAAGTGAGGTGAGGTTATCCCAGAGGAGTGAGTGCTTGATGGTGTCAGAAGCTGCAGAGAGGTCAAGAAGGAGGATGAGGAAAAGACCATTGTATTTAATAGTTGAGAGAATTTTGTTAAGTTTGGAAAGGGCAGTTTCAGTCAAGTGATTGGTTCAGAAGCCAGACTACAAGGGATTGAGAAAGGAAAGTGAAGTGAAATGGAAGCAATCGATATAAACAGCCTTTTGTGGAGTTTTGCTATGGAAAAGAGATCAGCTGTAGGACTATGGCTTGAGGGAATACTAGGGTCAAGTGAAGATATTTTGATGATGAAGGAGACATGCTTATGGCAAGAGAGCAGTGAAAGATTAAGTGGATAAGGAGATACTGAAGAGTAAAGGATGGGATAGAATGACGGAGGGCACAATCTTCCAGGTGAGAGAGCAGGGGATGTGATCAAGAACCTTAACTGAGGGGTTAGACTTGGCAAGTAAACTTACCTTTTCACTAGAAACTGAAACAAAGGAGATGAAAATAAGTAACAGAGAGCTACATGACGTGTGAATCACAGAAGAGGGAACTTGTGATGGATGGCTTGATCTGTATGTTATGTATTATTAATTATTACACAACATTATGTAGCTCAGTATACTCATACTTGTACTCTTCCTTGTTTTTTCTTTTCTATCTCACTATTTTTGTCTTTTTTTTTCTTTTTCTATTTTTCTTGCTACTACTATTTGTATTCCTTTCTCCTCAGGCCCTTTTCATTACTTTTCTCAACAACTTCTCCCTCCTGATATGAGGGTGAGGAAAGCAGAAAGAGAAAGATGAAAGAGACCTGTGTGGGATCTGTGGTACCAGAGCCCTGTCTATGTATACCTCACAGTATACATAAGATGTATACCTTACTCCTCATATCACCAGGCAGAGATACTTCTGGTCTTGTCTTACCTACAACCCCTTCCTTCAGGGCTCTGACTTAAACATAAATCATTGATTTAGTACTGGAAGGAACTTAGCATTCATTGGGCTCAAACTCCTCATTTTACAGATGTATAAACTGAGAGCAGAAGAGATCAGTGACTTGCCAGGGCTCACATGGCTAGTAAGTGCCTGGGGTAGGACTCACTTCAAGCCTAGCTCTGCCTACTTTACAAGGGTGCTTTCCATTGCTTTCTGCTTCCTGAGCTCATTATCTAATTTGTTTCTGGGTGTGCCAAACATAGCAGACTGAAGAAAGTTTGGTGAATTACATCTCCCTTAGGATGCAGCTCAGGCTGGCTGACTTGGAGCAATGTCTTGAAGTATATTTAATCCACTAACAGACCTATATTAAAAGGAAGACCAGGTTTTACCCTCCACCTTTAACTAGTGGTACTAAAGTTCAACAAGCTAGTGAACTCTCTTTTACTGTTAAAACTGTTGTTTTTACATTTCCCAGTAAGAGTTGAATAAGGCTATGTTGGAATATTTACTTTCTTTAAGGCAAGTTTCAAGAGACAAATGGTCTTTGGTATCATCTAGCATCAGTGTGCAGCTCTTTTGAAGTAAAAATTACTACCTTTATACTATGCTATATAGATCACTGGGCCTGAAGACAGGAAGACATGAGTACAAATATGGCCTCAGACACTTACTAGCTGTGTGATCCTGGGCCCCAGTTTCCCTAACTGCAAAATGGGTATAATAATTGTACCTGCCTCACAAGGTTGTTATGAGGATCAAATGAGATAATATTTGTAAAGTGCTTAAGATAGTGTCTGGCACATCGTAGGTACTGAATAACTTTTTCCTTTCCCCTTTCTATCCATAGGCTAGCAAGTTGTAAGCAGCTTGCTGACAAAAAGTGGTAGGTTGTGCCCCATTCAGTCAAAGAGTCAAAAAGTATTTATTACATGCTTACTATTCTCTAAGCACTGGGGATAAAACTACATCTGTGTATAAAGTCACTTATACTATTTTCTTCCAACCCAGAAGAACAATTTTTGTAAATTGTTAGAAAACAGATATCACTTTCCAAGAGGTTGTAGGGCTTCATTTTTAGACTCATTTCCCCACTATAGATGATGGTTTCTGATCCTTGATATTTTTTTTTGTGGAAGGACAAATATAAGGTTCTAATTTATCTTGTATTATTTCTGAATTTTTATTCAGAGGTGCTGAACTTTTCCAGGCTACAATTGTAAAGGCTGTGAAAGCAAGAATGGAAGAAGAGAAAAAATCAATGGACCAGCTAAAGAGACAGTACGAATGCTTCATTTCTCTCTGATGATGGGGTAGCAATCCAGTATGCCAAAAGGGAGGTCAAGCTGCCCCCAGAGTCACTAGAGGTCTAACTTTAAGTATCCTGATTGGATGAAGTTTGACACTTGCCATGAAGCTTTCCATGGAATTAGAAGTTCCATGATTGTTGTCAAGACATTACTAATTCTGTACTATTCACAATCTGGTGGTGAAGGGAACTCAAAAGGTGGCATGATCTTAGAGTGTTAGAGCTGGAAAGGGCATTAGAGGTCATATATTACAATCCCCTGCACTTTAAAGAGGAGTATTCTGATACTTAGGAAAGCGAAGTGATTTGTATAAGGTTAGTACATGGGATAAGACAAAAAAATCAACTGTCTACCCAATGGGGTTGTGAAATTTTTGTTCTGCAAGACCACTGGTTAGTGCTTTCATGGAGTAGACTTTTTAGCAGTGGAATAATTAAGATACGGGGGGAGGGGAGGGGAGGGCACAGGCATCTCCAGTTGTCCGGATCTGTATCTTGCCACTGGACTCAGATGGCTCCAGAGGAGAAAGTAAGGCTGGTGACTTTGCACAGCCCTCTCTCACTTAAATTCAATTCACTTGCAAGTCATGGCATCACCTTCCTGATGTCACGGTCCTCTTTGAGAACAGAGGACAACAACAATATTCAGATATGGTGATATGATATGATATCATCTGGATAAAAGTCTAAGGCATTACTGACAAAAAGGTTCTGCTTCATCAGCTTTTCCATCCAGATTAGGGGAAAAAATGCCATGGATCACCAGGAAAATACTCATCAAATGAAATAGTCCTTAAATAAGACCATTCTAAAGAGAAGGGCCCTTTCTACTCTGAAGTCATCTCCTAGGGCCCAGGGGTGGGGAACCTGTGGCCTTCTCCTGTTCCTTTTTTTTTTTTTAACATAATGATCATTTCATAAAAAATCTACACTTTTGAGATTGACAGTATGTCATGTGAAAGTACTTGAAAAATGACAAAGTACTATAATATCCAAGCAATAGCAGTAATATTGTTATTTTTACTATTATTTTATTATTGCTGCTATTATTATTATTTTATATTATTATCTTTAAAATTGATTTTCACATATACCAAATTTGGACCAAATTATTTCAGAATGTATTTATTTTTCTCTTAAAAGTGAACAATGTTGCTATCACTCCCTTAATAAAGAAAAAAAATGTATCAGACCTCTTCATCATTGAGATTCTCAAGGTAAATTGCCCATTTGTTTCAGAATCCAGAGCCTAGATAACATTTAGGGCTTTTAATTCCATTATGCCCCAACATACTCTCTAAGATTATAAATTGATGAACGTGTGCTGATCTGCATTGGTAGGTAAGAGTTCTCATGGGGAGTTCTTCTACCAATGAAAACACAAGTCTGCATTCTTCAAAACTGATATTCTGTGCTCCAAGTAGGAAATAATAATGACACTATGTATAAAGTGCTTTGAAAAATTAGATCCTATAAATATCAGTTATTATTTGATTCTTCTCCTATTTATGTTTGATGGGTTTCAGATCAGATAGATTTCAGATAGAAATTATTCTGTACCATTATCTCCATATCATAGATGAATACATTGGGGCTCTGAAATGTTCAATGATTCACCCATGGTCATACTACTTAGTGTGAAGTCTTCCTTCTACTGGTCTGCTATTATGTCCACTATTGCCATACTACAGGAATCTGAACATAAACTAGGGATAAAGTTTAACTTGGGATATTCTGAGTATCATTTTATTTTCACTTACTATTATCACCACCATCATCTTCAAATTCCCACAAGTAGGTAATAAATTTCAAAGGTGGTAGTGGGCTCTTTGTGGCTGCCTTAACACAATTGCCAGAGTATTTAAAAGTCTGTTAATGATTTTTACTGCATTCAGAAACATCACTGTCTAAATCAAAGGCTAATATTTCCTTTTATTAGAATGGACCGCATTAAAGCCAGGCAACAGAAATACAAAAAGGGGAAAGAGAGAATGCTGAGTTTGACCCAGGAGTCAGGTGAAGGACAGAGTCTTCAAAGAGTCTCTGAAGAGGATGATGAAAGTATGTCAAACCATTTTCTCGCCATTCAGCTACTTTGAAGTTGAGTCACATACAATATTTGGAAATCAGTAGAGTTGTGAAGAAAGGGTTTCTCTCAGTCCTAACATTGACAGTATATTTATTTTAGTGCAAGGTTTGCCTTTTTATATAAATTGAATAAGTCAGGATGTTTTGTAGGTGTTCTCTAAAGTGCATTTTAAAGCTTTAATGAAGCCCTGATTTAAAGCTGTTCATTATGCCAGGCAGGTCAAAACCAATACATTCTTTTTGGCTCAAGAGTCAGTTTGCTTGGAGAAAGACATATCATTTTAGCTTCTGGATCTTTGGAGGAGAAAGAATCAAATGACAGAGAACCAGTTGATTTGGAAAGAGAAGTAGTAATGTATTCATTTCTGGAATTTTCTCTAGTTCTTGTAAACTCTCTAAAATAAACAAATCACGTACATGTACATTGTATATTGACACCTAATGTCAGAATCTAAAATTGTGGATTGCTAGTGTTTCCAGTGTAACTTACCTTGCGAAATATATTATTGTAGCTAACTTGATTATGGTTTCAAATGTATTTTTGTGGGACTTTTCTTTTGGCATGGTTTTCAGTTGGGAAGGGCTTGAAGTAAAGAAATATCACACTTGTTTTCTAGATTATAATTTCCATCAGTCACTAATAAATTAGTATTTTCCAACCATATATTATCAATATCTATTATAAGTAAGTTGTCTGGCTTTTAGAATTACTATTTTAGATGAATTTTAACAAACTGGCATGTCTTTATCTCTTTAAACTTTATTTGTTATGTTTTAGTTTTATAGAATATTCATTGGTATATAACATATGGTGAAATGATGATCCCTTCATTTTATCTGTATCTAAATGTTCTAGCTTGAAAAGGAATAGCTGAAAATACAGAGCATTTTAAAATAAATGTTAGCCAATTCCTTTTGGGATTCAGCTGTGACCCCTGATACTTGAACACTTTTCAGACTATGCAGTTTCCTTTTCCTGACCCTTTAATGTGTTCTTAAAGTTTAGCTAGATTTGACAATAATGAGTTGTTAAATCATGGTGTTCAAAGCTTGTTTTCTCATTTTGTAAGAATTAATGTCTGGACATATTTCATTTTAGGAGAAGCAGACAAACAGAAAGCCAAGGGCAAAAAAAAGCAGTGGTGGCGGCCTTGGGTTGATCATGCTTCCAGTAGGTTTTCTCGATCCTCTTACAATTTCATCGATTTTAACCCTTATATCCTTGACCAGAATTCGGGCATTCCCATGACCTGTTTGTTCCATGCATGGTTTAATCATTGTGACTTGATAGGGGGCCTGCAAGTAGAAACTTACTATTACAAAGATCCCTGTGCACTTGTGTACAGGTAACTTATTAGGTATAGGTATTCTATGGTCATGTACAATGCCTACTCAAGAGAGCTGAAGCTAAACTAACCAATCCTTGAACACAATTTGTGGGTTACTAAGAGAAGGAAAATAACTATTATTTAATTCTGAGGTCCAGAAGGCTGACCAAGCTTAATTACTATATATTGTTTTATCCATGGCACCTAGATTTGGAAATACACTTATGTTAGAAATGGTCTCTGATACCAAGCAGATATTTGCAAATATTTTATGACTCCCTTTATAAGACAGTAACAGCTTATGACAATGAGTTTCTTCCTCCATTATAAATCTCAGAGCTTTGATTTTATTTGCATTGAGGGTTTTTTAAGCAAATAGCTAAATGTGAGAGTGGAAGATGAATACAATTTATTTTACTTCTTCCCATTTTCTTCTCCTTTCCAAAATTTCCCCAATGCTAGTGCTCTAAATTGCATTCCTGGAAGGTATTATGTCCTCTTAGTAGCTTATTGTTCAGTGATGATGAACTGGAATCAGAAATCAGAAAGTCCTTCCGAAAAGCAGAATTCGAGAGTCACACAGAATGTAAAAACTTCACCATAATAAATACGGCATTAGGAAGAAAATTATCTAATAAATGCCTTGTTTTAACTAATGCCATTTGCCATTTGGCCACATCACAACAATGGAAAAATAATCATTTCTATCTAGGATTTATTCAATCCATTAGTACGACGAGTTTCTCCAAACAACTATGTGACTTGACTGTGCTGCCATGACTGAAATTGACTAGACTGAAAAGTTTAGTAAAGCTGATCCATTAGGGCCTATCTCTAAAGCTGCCCTACCACCCAGAAATGACTTGGGTACTCAGCTTGCATGGGATTGACAAACCCTGCCAAATTGGATTTGAATTAAATTCCACTGAATAATACTGCCAAAATCTGGAGTCCATCAGTTTCTCCTTAAGCATATAAAATTGGCCTTAACCTTTCTTAACTATAACATAATTTCCTAAAACCAGCCAGGTAAATTTCCTGATACATTTTCAACAATTAAGCAACATTTCAGAATATAGTGTTGGCTAAGCATTACAAAGCTTTGATTCCAATATTCTTAAAGAAAGCCTAATGCTTTGTTGACAAACTCATGTATTCCTCTGGATAAAGTAAAGTTGCAATTTCCATGCCATCCCTTATATTGTACATTCTGTGTGACCATGTTATTTCTACACTGATAGATATTCATGTCAATCTCTTAAGGTACACTGTATGTCCATTTCTATCAAGTCACAAGTAAACTGTGCCTATCTTTCTGTTTCTAAAGGGCATATTGCTACTTTAGAGAGACTTATCCTTTTTCAAAAAGATTTCTCTTATCAATCATATTATACTGTCACCTGAGGTAACATCTCATGCCATTTTAATGTGGTACTATTTCTTTTTTTCATTTAAAAATGTATTTTGGAAGGAATTGGATAAGGTCTTTGTTAATCATCATACTAGTTGTTAGTACATTCAAGAATTTCCAGTACAAAGGTTATTATTGACTTTGGGTTTTCTGATTCATTTTACCCTCATTATATCATGTTCTTGGACACTGGTCTTAAACCAAATGTGCATCATTACAATACCTTATGGTGCAATAATGCAGAAATTTGTGTGATTCATAGTTTGGAACCAGATGCTAACTGTAATTTTAAAAGCTCCCTGCCAAGTGTTTTTCCTCTTAGTGTCTGCCAAAATACATCAGTAGCATCCTTCTGAGAAACAGACAAAAAACTAGCATATGATAGGTGGTGGGACTATACTATTCGAAAGGTACATTATTGTGGTCCACTGTTGTGATGTTTTTGGTGATTGGATTTGTCAGTACTATTTTATTAGGTGGTCAACATGAGTACTTCTGAAATAGCAATATGTAAATCTATGGAAGTTAATAATAACAACCAGGAGAATACTATTTGCATATTAGCAACATTATTAGAAATCATTGAATATCTTAATCGAGGCTTTGGGTTACTCAAATGTTCCCAGCTCCATATCTATGTGTACACATAAGATTGCATTATTGCTGTTCAATCATACCTTCCCTTTCAGTATTTCATATCTCCATATCTTTTATGTCCTTCCTAAAGCATCACCAGTCAAGCCTGTCTGGCATTGTTCAATACTGGCATTCTTAAATGGAGTTTTTAAGTGCCAGGTTTGTGGAGATGTGAACAGTAGGACTGTAAAGGGACTCGTGAAAGAGACCCATTGAAGTAATCTTGTCACCCCCTAGTCAGTGGCACCCCATACACTTTAGGGGGAGGATGTATCTGAAATACTGAGATATCTCGTATATTAATAGAATTTTATGAATAAAAGGGACCTTAGAAATCATCTAATCCAACTTCTTCATTTTATATATTATGAAATATATATGTATATGCACACACATATACATATGTATAATGACATGTTTGGTCTTAATGGTAAATGTCACCAACAGATGATTTTGCCATTTTAATTTGTTTTCTAGTCTACTGATAATTTTAAAAGACCATATAAGATTCTGTTTTCTTTTTCTGGGTAGTGGTGGAGGTTTGTGGTAATGCTACATATAATTCATAAAAATCACTGGAATGTATAAAAAAATTATCTCTGAAAGAATGTTCCCCTATTGAGCATAAAGCAAATAATTTTCTTCTAAAATATATGAAAACTCTGTGTTCATTTGTCCAACAAAATTCAGAAAACATTTTAGGAGGTATGATTGAATAAAATTTAAGCTGTTGTTGATTTTAGAGCCTATAATGAGGGTAAAATGTTGACTCATATATTACTCTGAATTTTTTCCAACTGAACATATGACATACACCCTATGTAATTCTTCTTGCTAATCTCTAAGTTTACATGAAGGCATAATTTTAATGGTCTTCCCCACTGTCAAATGTAAGGCTGTGACTTTAGTTTGTTCTCGCTTATTATTGTCTTCTGTTTGGTTTTGTTTATTTCCCCTTTTCAGGCCTGGGCCTATTGCCCTGGGCCTGTTACCTTACTCAAAACTAAAAATAAATGCTTCTGTTCAAGGATATAAGGCCCAGTTCATTCACTCTGCATCTTCATGAATGGAGGCTTCAGATTCTATCTGAAACCATGGGCAAAATTACTTTTATTTATTACTTTGTTTAGTGATATTCAAGCAATTCATTTTAAACAAGCCAAGGTTTTCCATTACCTCATTATTTTAAGTCCAAAAGATGAATAAACAAATGACATCACATTATGTAACATAAAAGATGGCCCAGCACTTGAAAGCCTAAATAAAAACCAAAAACTATATTATATTTTATGGATAATGATGGTACAATTTATGTAACATCAGAAATTTCTATGCTGGGTTTCTTGTCACTGATAAGACAAAGCTATAATATATTCATCTTAAATGGAAAAAGATTAAATTGATCAAATTCCTCTAAAATATTTGGATAGACCTTGCAACTTTCTCTGCTACAAACTCCTAACACAGACTGTGTTTACATGCAAGAGGAAAGAATAGACTATAGCAGGGCAAACATACTCCTTGCTCTTTTTGCTATATGTCATAATGATCAATATGGATCTCTGCGTGACAAAATATAGTTCTCAGATTCCACACCACCCCTAAAGAATATCAGTGGTGAGTCATGCTGATCCCATTTGTCATGCCACAGTCTCTTCTGCTAGCTGCATGTAGAAACAGGCATTGTGTTTAGTTTTCTTCTTACCTGCCCATTTCCTCCTCATGGCAATGTGGGTTAAAAAACAACCAACCAACCTATAATCCTCAATTGTTGCCATACTTGTCATGTCCAATGTGTTCCATGTACAGAAGCCAGGTCTACACAGCAGAAGGTGAAGTGGAAGGTTTCTAATGCCTACTTATAGCTCTGAATTATCTGCATTGGCTAACTATACAGCCAATTTCTGTGAGATAATTGCAAATCCTCCACTTCACTTTGGCCTTATCTATACGAACAAAATAACAAAATCGTGCCACCATTGATGAGTTATTTTGATCATTGTAATGATCGAATTGGGTTGCTGCACAGTTGATCTGATTGATTGGTACAGTCTATGAAGAAGGTTGAAAGTACCAGATTGACTTTGCTTTGGCCAATTCGGTTAAGTGGTATAGACATGGCCTTTGTGCTTTAACTTAGTCATAGTGGCACTAAGTAATATTAGCCTGACAGTGAGTTCTGTTCACTTCGTTTTTCTTCCTCTATCCTAATGACCCTTTGTTGACTGTATGTTGGTATATCTTTGTGTGTCATTCAGAAAAGAGCCCCTAATGTTCCTTATATTTTTCAAGAAATAAGTAAATGTTTTGTTTTGCTTAGTGGTCAGGAGTGGAGATTATTATTTGTTTGAGACGGACAGTGAAGAGGAAGAAGAAGAAGAAGAAAAAAAAGAGGAAGAACCACCAAGAAAGTCAGCATTCCAGGTAAATGTGGGCTGGAGTAGATAAATATGTACGGTTTATAAGTTGGAAGAGCTGCTCTGACTGACTGAGCTTGATTGGACGTCTAAGCTTTTCTGGTCAGGACCATGCTTATTACAGCCCCCAGAAGTATGTAATCTCTGTCTGGAACTGGTTATTATAAGTGAACGTTTTTGTCAGCTTATTGATATTGCTGTTTGCTTTCAGTTCTGTTAGAATTACTTACATACAGGAATATTTTAGGGGCCCAGTCTTAATTCACTTGCTTTAAAAGATTTTTAATAGTTGTCATAAGACATTTCTGTGAATGAACTTCAATGTTACTTTTTTGGAAAAAGCACATAGGGTCAAGATAGTGGAGTGAGGAAGGAACCCTTTGAAGCCTTCCTAGATTCCCCTCCAGACTACTAGAAAACCACCTCAGAATTGATCTAGGAGCAGGGAAGCAGTTTACCAGCCCAGGAGGAAAGGTCTGTCTCACTGAGGTGGGAAGGGAGCAAGGTCTAAGAGCAGAAGCAACAGCAGCCAGCCTCACAGGAGGGGGCCTGCAGAAAGGCTCTAAGCCTGGGGCAGTCTACCAGGGATGCCCCACCCTCCTGCAAGCTAGCAACCCCCTAGGCAAGTGAGTAATCTGTGCAGCAGAGCAAAGTTCCACTCCAGTGACCCCACCCCCAGCACAAGCAAGGCCTTGACCCCATTGTTGACCTATAGTGAAGCCCCACCCCAGGGCTGGTCAACAGTGAGACCCCCACCCCTAGGGCCTACCTGTAGAGAAACCCTGTTTCCATAGAAACCCAGCAGCAGGGCCCCACCCCTGGAGCAGGCCAGAAGCTAAACCCCAGGCACCCAGGGGAGGACAACAGAGAGGCCCCACCCCCCCAGCACAAACCAAAAGGGAAACCTACCCTTCGGAGAAAGCAAGCAGCAAAGCCCTGTAGCCCAGTGAAAGTCAGCAGTAAGATCCAGAGCCCCAGCATAAAAAGCCTGGGACGGTGCTAGATCAGAGTCCAATCCTCACATAAAAAACACCAAGTCACAAAAAAAAGGGCAGGGAAAAAAAGGAGCAAAAAGCAAGAAAAAAAAAAAGAAAGAGCTTGACTGTACAAAGTTACTGTGGTGATAGAGAAGATCAAGGCATAAACTTGAAAGAGGACAATGGTGTTAAAATGACTACATGTGAAGCCTCAAAGAAAAACATAATTTGGTCTCAGGCCCAGAATTCCTGGAAGAGCTTAAAAAGGATTTTTAAAAGCAAATTTAAAAAGTAGAAGAAAAATTGGGAAAAGAAATGAGAGTAATGCAAGTGAATCATGAAAAAGGAGTCACTAGCATGGGAAAAGATATACAAAAAATTACCAAAGAAAATAACTCCCTAAAAATGGAAATTGGCCAAATAGAAAAGGAAGTACAAAAGCTCACTGAAGAAAATAATTCCTAAAAATTTAGAATTGGGCAAGTGGAAACTAATGACTCTATGAGACATCAAGATATGATATTGCAAAATCAAAAAAGTAAAATGTAGAAGAAAATGTGAAATTTCTCATTGGAGAAACAACTGACCTAGAAAATAGATCCAAGAGAGATAATATAAGAATTATTGGATTACCTGAAAGCCATGATCAAAAAAGAAAAAAGGCCTGGACAACATCTTTCAAGAAATTATCAAAGAAAATTGCTCTGATTTATTTGAACCAGAAGGCAAAATATAAATTGAAAGAATCCCCTGATAACCTCCTGAAAGAGATCTCAAAATGAAAATTCCAAGGAACATCATAACCAAGTTCCAGAGCTCACAGGTCTAGGAGAAGGTACTGCAAGCAGCCAAAAATAAACAGTTCAAATATAATGGAGCTACTGTCAAGATAACACTGGATTTGACAGCTTCCACATTAAAGAATGGGAGGGTTTGGAATATGATGTACCAGAATGGAAAGGAGTTAGGATTACAACCAAGAATCACCTACCCAGAAAAACTGAATATAATCTTTGGGGGGGGGGGGGAATGGACAGTTAACAAAATAGAGGATTTTAAAGCATTTCTAATTAAAAGACTCAAACTGAATAAAAATTCTGACTTCCAAATACAAGACTAAAGTGAAACATAAAAAGGTAACAAAGAAAAAAGAAAGAGAAAACATAAGTTCAATAAGGTTAAACTTTATATTTCTCTATGGAAACATAATATTTGTAACTCTTAGCAACTTTATTACTATAAGAGCTATTAAGAGTATATGTATACAGAAGGTATGGATATAAGGTGACTTTGATGGGATAATACCCCAAAAAAATACCAAAATAAAGGGGTAAGAAAGAAAATTGCACTGGAAAAAGGAGAGAGGAGATTGAATGGGGTAAATTATTTCACATAAAAGAAGCATGAAAGAACTATTATAATGGGGGTAGGGGAAGCTGCAGGGGTGGGGAAGCTGCAGGGGTGGGAGGTGGTGGGCAAAGTTTAAACCTTAGTCTCATCCAATTTACTCAAAGAGGATACAACATACATATTCAGTTGGTTATAGAAATCTCTCTTACCCTATAAGGAAGTAAAAAGGGATGGGAATATTAGAAGGGGGTGGTGGACTAATAAAAGAAAGGATATATTGGGAAAGATGATGATCAGAAATAAAAAGGAAAGGGTGGGGTGTGAGAGAGAGAGAAGGATAAACAGGCAAAAAATAGCATGGAGGGAAACGTAGTTATCATAACTATAAATGTGAATGTGATGAACTCATCCATAAAACTGAAGCATATAGAAGAATGAATTAAAAACCAGAATCTTACAATATACTGTTTATAAGAAACACATCTGAAGTAGAGAGATATACACAAGGTAAAAGTAAAGAGCTGGGGCAGAATCTATTATGTTTCAGCTGAAGGAAAGAAAACAGGGGTAGCAATCCTGATCTCAGACAAAGCAAAAGCAGAAAGAGATCTAATTAAAAGAGATAAGAAAGGAAACTATATTTTGCTGAAAGGTACCATAGATGATGAAATCATATGATTATTAAACATGTATGCACCAAATAGTATAGCATGTAAATTTTTGAAGGAAAAGTTGAATGAGTTACAGGAGTAAATAGATAATAAAACTGTACCATTGGAGGACCTCACTTTCCCCTCTCAGAACCAGATAAATCTAACCAAAAAAATTAACAAGAAAGAAGTTAAGGAGGTGAATAAAATTCTGGAAAAGTTAGATATGATAGATATCTGGAGAAAATTGAATGGGAATAGAAAGGAATATACTTTTTTTCTCAGTTGTACATGGCACTTACACAAAAACTGATCATGTATTAGGTACATTTAAAACCTCAAAATCAAATGCAGAAAAGCAGAAATAGTAAAGCATCCTCTTCAGATCATAATACAATAAAAATACATTTAATAATGGACAATGGAAAGAGAGATTAAAAATTAATTGAAAATTAAATAGTCTAATCCTAAAAAGCAAGTGAGTCAAAGAACAAATCGTAGAAACAACTGATAATTTCATTAAAGAAAATGACAACAATGAGGCAACACACCAAAATTTATGGGAAACGGTCGAAGTGGTACTTAGGGGAAATTTTATATCTCTAATTGTTTAATCAATAAAATAGAGAAAAAGCAGATCGATTAATCGGCATGCAACTAAAAAAACTAGAAAAAGAACAAATTAAAAATCCTCAGCTAAAAAACAAATTAGAAATCCTGAACATCAAAGGGAAGAGTAGTAAAATTAAAAGTAAGGAAACCATTGAACTAATAAATAAAACTCAAAGCTGGTTTTATGAAAAAAAAAACAATAAAATAGATAAACATTGGTTAATTTGATTTAAAAAAGGAAAAAGAAAACAAAATTACTAGTATCAAAAATGAAAGGGATGAATTCACCACCAATGAAGAGGAAATTAGTCCAATTGTTGGGAGCTATTTGCCCATTTACATGCCAATAAATTTGTCAATTTAAATGAAATAGATGAATATCTACAAAAACATAAATTACTCAGATTAACAGAAGAAATAAAATACTTAATTCAATCTTAGAAAGACAAATTAAACAAGCCATCAATAAATTTCCTAAGAAAAAAATCCCCAGGACCAGATGGACTCACAAGCAAATACCAATACTATGTAAACTATTTCAAAAAATAGGCAAAGGAGTTTTACCAAATCCCTTTTACAACACAGATACGGTGCTGATCCCCAAACCAGGAAGAGCTAAAAGAAAGAAAGAAAATTATAGGCCAATTTCCCTAATGAACATTGTTGCAAACCAGCAAAGAGATTACATCAATATATCACAAGGATCATACATTATGACCAGGAATGATCAATATTAGGAAAACTATCAGTGTAATAGATTATATCAATAAAAAACCATCAAAAATCATATGATTATCTCAATAGATGCAGAAAAAGCCTTTGACTAGGTGGTGCAGTGGATAGAGCTCCAGTCTTGGAATCAGGAGGACCTGAGTTCAAATCCAACCTCAGACACTTGACACTTACTAGCTGTGTGACCCTGGGCAAGTCACTTAACCCTGATTGCCCCACCAAAAAGTGAAAACAAAAACAAAAGCCACACTAGAGAGCATAGGAATAAATGGAGCTTGCCTTAAAATGATAAATAATATTTACCTAAAACCATCAGCAAGCATTATCTGTAATGGGGATAAGCTAGAAGGCTTCCCAATACAATCAGGGGTAAAGCAAGGATGCCAATTATCACCTCTATCACTTAATATTGTACTAGAAATGTTAACTGCATCAATAGGAGAAGAAAAAAAAACAAGAAAACTAGAATAGGCAATAAGGAAACAAAACTATCATTCTTTGTAGATGATATGATGTTATACTTAAAAAACCCTAGAGAATCTACTAAAAAACTAGTTGAAATTATTAACAACTTTAGCAAAGTAGTAGGATACAAAATAAACCCATATAAATCATCAGCATGTCTATATATTACCAACAAAGTCCAGAAGCAAAAGGTAGAGAAATTCCATTTAAAATAACTATAG